AAAAATCGACCAATTCAGGGTTAAAATCAACCATCCAGCCCCCAAAATCGGCCAATTTTGGCTATTTTTGGCGGTCGTTTTAAGGGAGTGGCGTTGTTTTTCGGTGGGAAACTGTCGGTTTAGGGCTGGGCACTACTAAAATTAGGTCAAATTACGACTTGTTTTTTACGACCGTCATAAAAACAGACGCAAAAATGGGAATTTGCGACCGTTTTATAAGCGGTCGTACAAAACGGTCGCAAGAGTATTTGAACAATTTTCTTTTAAATAAATACATGTTTAAAATAATTGTAAAATAATTTATCCAATTACGACCAGTAGAAACGGTCGCAAATTGCACAAAATTGCAACCGTTTTAGAAACGGACACAAATTGCACAAAATTGCGACCGTTTGTGAAATGGTCGCAAATTTGCGACCTTCCTTCCTGGTCGCAAAGTTTTTTTTTTTTACCGTGTATAAAAGGAACCCCTCACCCTAACTCTAATGCACACACTCAATCCCTCACGCCGCTCAGCCTTCTCTCTTTTCTCTTTCCTTCTCTTTATTCTTTCTTCGATTTCTTCTTTCTCCTCATTTCTCCTCCTTTCTCTTTCCTTATCCTCCATCTTTACCCGTGGTAACTCTTACATCCTCCGATCCGCCACTAGCCCCACCTATACTCCTTCCTTTTTTATTATTTTTTATTATTTATTTTTTTTATTACGGATAACGGCACTCATGGTGGTGTTGTTGAGTCCGAAAACACCTCCCTCAAGATGCTTTGGTGGTGTTGTTAACTAGTTCATGGCTTTTAAGGTCAAATTCGGCCATGAAAGCTCTAGATCTAGGGTTTTCATGGCCAAATTTGACCTTATTAAACCAAATTTGAGGTCAAGTTCGAAGTCAAATCAAGGTTTGAGTTATGTTTTCTTGTTTTTGGTTGATTTTTTGTCTCGTTTTTAGTTGATTGTCGTTTCGTTTTGGTTGATTTTGGGTAATTTGGTTGTTTTTTTTTTTTTTTGATATGTTTATTTGGGAAATTTGATTTTTTTTTTTTTGGTTGATTTTTTGTCCCGTTTTGGTTGCTTTTTCGTTTTGTTTTGGTTGATTTTTTGGTAATTTGGTTGGTTTGTTTTTGGTATGTTATTTGGGTTTGATTTGATGTCTTTTTTGGTTGATTTGATTTTTGGTTTGATTATATTTTTTTGTTTGATTTTGGTTGTTTCTTATTTGATTTTTGGTTTGATTATATTTTTGGTTTGATTTTGGTTATTTCTTATTTGATTTTTTGTGGTGGCTAGTTGAAGTTTTCGGGGTGAAAGACGAAATTCCGTGGTGACTTGGTGGAGTTCTCTCGGTGGCTGGTGGTGTTCAAGGGTCGGTAGTGGCGACTGGTTGTGTTTAAGGGTCGGCTGTGATGGTTTGTGGTGTTTTGGGGTGGGCAGTGGTGGCAGGGCTGGTGTGAAGTGCAGGAATTGGGTGATTTTTCTTCTTTTTTTTAAAAAAAAAAATACCTTTAGCGACCGCTTTTGACGGTCGCTAATTTCCAGATTTGCAACCATTTCTTAAGACGGAACGGTCGTTGAAAATAGTTAAAACGGCCGTTAAAAATCTGGCGGTCGTAATATTTTTTTTTGCGACCAAGAGAATAACGACCACCATATTACGACCGTTGACGGTCGCAATTACGTTTTGCGACCGTTTTCACTATTTTTTGCGATCGTTTGCGGCGGTCGCAATTTGGCCAATTTTTAGTAGTGGGAAAGGGAGGTTTAGGTTTCTCGGTAGTCGTGGGCTAGGAAGGGGGTGTGTACAGCGTCAAAGGTGGGGCAGGGGCTGGGCTGCGTTGCCGGTGGTGTTGGTAAGGTGGTTGCGTTGCCAGTGTTTGGGGCTGAGAGAAGGGCTACTTGGGATTTTAAAAAAAAAATATTTAATTTTTGACCTATCATGTAGTAGCGACACGTGTATAAATAATTACAAGTCAGTAAAGTTTACCTTTTCAACCGGTTCCATGTAACTTGAGAGTGATAAAAATTAGTAGAGTATAAAGTTTAATTTAGGCTCTGTTCTCATCATAATATTTTCAGTTTAGTTCAGCTCTAATAAGTTCAGTTTAGTTCAGCTCCTAATTTCCATATTCAATTCAGTTCAGTCCGGTTCAACTATAATAAGTTAAGTTAAGTTCAGTTCAGTACAGTACAATTTGGCTCAATTCAGTCAATGAGAACATGTCTTTACTTTAACAATGATATAGTGAGACCAATATTACTAAAGACTATTTTCATTCATATTTTAGGATGTAACAATCTGACCTAAAAGTTAATTAAGAAAAAAAAATCGTCGGCCCATGTAGTAAGTTATTGAGTGTGAAAGAGTGTTTTTTTTTTTTTTTTTTTCTTCCTTTTTTATTTCTTTGGCGGCCCAATCATGAACGCACCTCATGAAAGAAGAAAGTAGAGGTAATTTTAAGAGATAGAGTTGACCAATTAAAATGAACTTGTAATAAGTAGCAAGGCTTTTGTTTAATTTATCTTATATTTACTTATCTAGTTAATTTTTTTTTATTTTTTTCTTAAAATCTGATATGATGGTTAATTTGATTAAACTTTAATCTTATATGTAAGCTAATTTTACAGAAAAAAAATAGTGAAGTCTTGTTACATCCATTATATGTCCTTTTTTTTATAAGAAGAAAATGATTTCATTAATGAAAGATACCCAAATGACACTTACAAATAATTCCGAGGAAATCTAAAATTCCAACACAAATATAATTCACCTTAAAACTAGTTACATCACAGATTGATCATCTTTATAAAAAAATTCATCCGAAACAATACAATATGTGAGTTAGCACTAATTTGGCTTGAGATCCACGGATGAATAGTTGTTTGGGTGAACTCATATGGCCTTCTAGATACTTTTGGAGATTGTGAAACCCTAAATCTTCAATCTTTGGCAGACGAACAAAGATTAATATTTAATAAAATTTAACATAAAAAAATCGTACATAAAATGAAAAAGTATGTTCAAAACTTATTTTTTCTAATTTGATCTTAAATAAGTAATAAAGTCCGAAATTAAATGAACTAAACATGTGGCCTAAGAGATAAGTTAATTTATTACACTTCATCAATATTATTCTTTAAGTGAAGCATAAGTTCATGACAATAGCCAAATAACTACTCTTAACTAAACGGGGTTCACATTAATTTATTATGGACCACTTATTAAGAGATACTCTCTCCTTCCCTTTATTATGTCCCTATTTCTAGCATTATTTATTACTCATATAATAAGTATAGTGTAAATGTTTTACTTAAACATAAATGTCATTATGATAAAATAAAAGTTAATATATTAAAATAAGTCATTGGGTAAAACAAAGGTCGCAATAAAAGAGATTAATACACATTGAACTCTTAATATACTTGTGAATATAAACAATAAAGGTCACTATATTAAAAATTAGGGTTACTATGTTTAATAAAATGTTGGTTGGAACATTATTTTGGACTTGATATTTACAAAAGTTTTAATGAAGGTCAATATGTTAAAATTATGGTCGATTTATTTAACTTCATATTGATTGACACGGGAAGACGTCAGGTACACAATAGTATTATTGTGAACTATATTCACATAAGTTTTTTTGTAATCAGATTGCATATAAGATTTAGAAAATTTTGTGTAGAACTACCCTAAAGATAGGGTCATTTGTGAACAACTATCCAATTTTTTTTATTAATTTGTTTAGAACTACCCACAAGTTTGAAAATATTTGGGTAGCACTACCCATTAGCATTTTTCGTCCAATTAAGACGTTATCGGAGCTCACTTTTTTCACTTTTGTCACCCAATTAACTCTCCCAATTTGTATAAAGGTTTTAATTTACCTTAATTAACCTAATTAAGGTTTTAATCATAATTTATTCTAGGGTTCATGAGTGTAGTATTATTTGGGGATTTTAATTTCTAAGGTTTAGGGGTTTAATTGAATTGGGGTTTTTGCTTATTTTAGCATTAATTGACCATTGTATTGAAAAAAGTAAAAAATTGGGTCAAAATAACATTTTAATGGGACGAAAAACATTAGTGGGTAGTGCTACCCAAACTTTTCCAAACTTGCGGGTAGTTTTAAACAAATAAAAAAAAATAGGTAGTTGTTCACAAATGACCCTATCTTTAAGGTAGTTCTACACAAAATTTCCTAAGATTTAAACGATTTATTTAATGAATAATAAATGGAGTAACTTGCTAGATTTATATCGGTCACGATCCGAGTACACCACTAGACCTGGCAAATGGGTCATTCGGGTCGGGTATGGGTCGGGTCATTTTGGGTCGGGTCAAGTTCGGGTCAAAAGATTATCGGGTCGGGTCGGGTCGTGTCATTTCGGGTCGACCGATAATCGGATCGGGTCGAGTTCGGGTCGGGTCAAGTTTGGGTCGGGTCAGTTTGGGTCGGGTCAATTTTCGGGTCGGGTCAGTTCGAGTCAGGTCAATTTTCGAGTCCGATTTTCGGGTCAACTTCGGGTTGTGTCAACTTCTAGTCGAGTCATATTCGGGTGATTCATTAGGTTAAATTCAACTCTGTATATATATTTATTTATTTATTTATTGATAAAAAACTCACTATATTTATTAAGGCTATTTTTTCATGGATTATAGTAATTGTTTGACTTTTATTAACTTTTTTTTTTTTTTATGTTTAGAATTTTAGACTGAGAATCACTTTCAGGATCTCCTGAAACTAAGAGTGATGCTCTAACTAATTGAGTTATACTTCACTCTCTTATTGATCTTAGTTTTAATACGTACTCTTATTATCATTGTCATTGTTGTAATAATTTCTTTGAATTATTCTTATACCCCCTCCATCCCAAATTACTCTTAACGATTTGACATTTTGCACTATTCACACATCTCACTTTAACCATCTTTTTTAGCTATTATATGAAAGTAAATGTAGTCATGTAAGATGTTGATGGGTCTATTTTAATGTATAATTTCCTAATATAAACTTTTTATAACTTATATAATTATTTACTAAAAGAAGTTAAAGGTCGGGTCATTTTCGGATCGGGTCAACTTCGAGTCTCGGGTCAACTTAGGGTCGGGTCGTTTCGGGTCTCGGGTCAACTTTGGGTCGGGTCATCTCGAGTCAGTTCGTTTCGGGTTTCGGGTTTCGGGTTTCGGGTCAAGGTCGGGTCAGTTCCACTTCCGGTCGGGTATGGGTCGGGTTGGGTTATTAATTCGGGTTTTGGGTCAATTTCGGGTCACTGGTTTCGGGTCATGGGTCGGGTCATTCGGGTCGGGTCATCGGGTCTGACAATTGCCAGGTCTATACACCACCATCACCTTTTATTTTATTTTATTTTTTAATTTAATTTTTTTATATTGTCATATTATCGCAAGTCTTACGTGAATTATCCTTTGCACAACATTATGTTTTTCCATATGGCTAGGAGATGGGACAACTTTGATTTAAAAAAGATTGACTTACTTTTGGTGCCAAGATTAAGTAAAGATGGTAGCATTGAAATATTCTTACTTTGCGAGACGAAGGATCTTAAAAGAAGATTAAAGATACCCTAAGTTTAAAGGATCCAACTTTTCTTTTGTAACACTAGACTTTCATTATATATGCATGCATCCTATTACTATAAGTTAGGTAAACCTTCATATATATATATACTTCGCTCCACCATTGTATAGTAGGGAGGTACTACTACTCCATTTACAATACATAGTTTCTAGTCTTTCTACACACTAATTTAAACACACCTTTACCTCATTGATTTATCCATCTCTTCACTCGATTTCGATTGATCTACGCGAAATTAGTACTTGTCTACGTAAAATCTCAATTTTTTAGTAAGATATTAAATGAAAAAACACAATTTTGTAGGAGAAAATTTGAACAGATTGCCCCCCGGATTCCGATTTCAGCCTACCGACGAGGAGCTTCTTTTCCAGTACTTAAGATGCAAGATATTTTCGCTTCCTCTTCCGGCCTCCATCATCCCTGAGGTCCATTCTCTTAAGTTAGACCCTTGGGAGCTTCCCGGTACGTGTGTCATAATTTGCTCATCATACATTTCCCTTAATCTTCATGTCATTGTTAATAATTGTATTATGGCATAATGGCAGGGATAAAATGCTAGTAAATTTTGGCTTCTATACATATAAGAAATTTAATATTGCATAGTACATGGTACTTTTAACTATAACATAGTTCATAATCACCTCATTAGTCTATTATGCTCTCAAAGATAGGATTGTGGACGAGATTTTGTTTAGGTTAGGGAAAAAAAAAGGTATTATAACGTTAGCTATGTCTCATTTTTGTATTTTAAAATTAACACGAATGGTTTAAGTAAAAACTTTTATTGGTATCTGAGAATTGAATAATCCCGATTTCGAATTAGTACATAATCCAATAATTTTCCTATGTTGGTGTTTGTGTCTAAAATTTTTACATTCATGCATATGTTATAGGTGATTCAATGGAAGAGAGATATGTCTTCACCAAGAAGGGAGGAAGGCACAAGAAGCGTAACCAAATTAATAGATCGATTAGGGCAACAAACTTAGGTTATTGGGAAGAGACTGGCTCGGAAATGCATATATCTCCTCCTCCAAGCCAAAATTTCGAAACGATGATGATGATGGGCATCAAAAAAACTTTAGTATATCATATGGGAAGGGCTCCAAGCGGTAGTCCAACTGATTGGTACATGAATGAATATAGCTTAGTCTATAATAATAAGGTGAATTTCATTTCTTAAACTTTGTGATACATTATATGAACCAATCCTAGATTTCAACCATAAGCTTAACCTTGTAATTGAGTTGGCCTGGTCTATTGATACTTTGGTTAAAAATTGCACGAATTTGTATGTTATATAGGGGTAGTATATATACTAATGACTTATATTAATAATTTTCGTGCAGAATAACAAAGGTGTATCCAAAATGGAAGATTGGGTCATTTGGCATGTATTTTTGAAGCAAAGAATTGAAGGAAATGACGATGCAATTATGTTAGACTATAATAATAGTCATTACAGACTAACCTCCAATATTTCATCCCCTTGTTCTTCTTCTTCGTCGTCATCAAATTCATTTGCACATGTTTCTTCATATGAATTACATTCTGATGAAGAGAGTAGCTATAATTTTATGTAATTTAATTTATTCAGCATATCATAATTCTTGTGCTTAATTATGCAGTTTATGCATTAAAGTACATTATTTATATTGCTAATATTGAATTAATTATGACTTTTATATTGAATGTACTCCGTACTATGCTACTCTTCATTTATTCTTTATTTTAAGGTCTTTTAAAAATATGTTTGACTATAAATAGCTTTAATTTTTAATATTTTATGTTCTAAAATAATCTATTAGGAACTCACATAGCTTATATGTTCAAAGTTAATAAACTTTGATTTCAAAAAAAATGAAATCAATCAAACAATTATGACCTACTCGTAAAAGAGTAAATTTATGTAATTATAAGTATAGTGGGACACCAAAGTCAATATGAAATGTACAAACATGCATGCATTGATTTTAAGCATAATAATGAAAGCATAAAGCAAGTAACTTCGTCTACTCGTGCTACTTAAGTACTAAGAAATCTTCCACGTTAAGGAAACAACATACACAAAAGGTAAGACTAGATAAAATATTATATGCATGGTTATCAACGTAATATCCCTTTTATTTGTGACGACAATTTAACGTGATTTTATCTTTTGAATATTCCATTTACTTTATTGGTCAAATTAAATTTGATAAAGTTGCAAATCCATACATGGAGTCAACAATGAATTTGTGGCAACAAAGACTCAAATCCCAAAAGATTTTGCAATTTTTACCACATCAAGGGATCATATGATAAGGTAAGTCACATCTAAACATGTTCAAATTTTCCCTACCTTTTCTTCTAATTATAAGTTATGATTCAAGAATTATTTATTGATTGAAAGTTGAGATTAATAAGTTAGGATGTAAAAATATATTCTAAATATGTCAAGCAAAGTTTGGTTCGCTCGATATATAAATTAAAGTTCTGACTATATATACTTTAAATTTCAGATATTTTAATTCAATTCTTGCCAATTGAGGATAGTTGAGTGGAGATCCCTTTACCCTTATCTCCTAATAACTTGCAACCCTATCTCATAAATAATGAACCAAATTATAAACCGTGAAGGTTGAGACATGATGGACAAAACAAATGAAAATAAAGTTATATAAATGCTATTTAATACGACAAATCAACTAAACCTACAATGTCAATCAAAACAACCTATGCATAAATGTGTTACTCTTACCAAGTGATCACATGGACATATTTTTTTTTTTTTTTATATAACAAAATAGATGAACGTTGAAGATGAGATAAGATAAAGCAATATTTTGCATTTCCCTACAACAAAATCATAGAATATCATGAAATCATGCTCGCAACTACGCTTTAGGTTTGCTAGTAAGATCATATCATCTTCCTACACATAAAAAAGGAAACTGAAAAAATATTACTAGGAAAATTAATTAAACACCATTTCAAATCCCTCCTTTATTTCTCTCCTAGATCGAATTTAGAATTAAGCTCCTCCTAATTGTTATAGAGACGCGACGTACGTATGTTCCATTGAATATATACTATCACGCAGCTGCTTGTTGAATGAAATGAGAATTGTGTGAAGTACAAGGAAGGTGATATAACGAATGCATGTTATGAAATATATGTTTTCCTCCTTTTGGAATTCCTATTTTAAACATCTTCACTCTTTTATGCTTCTTCAACATGGTGTTCTTCTCTTCCACTACCTGCTAATTAATTATAATCATGATAGTTATAATAAGACAATAAACCACGATTAATTTAGCATTAAAGGGAGAAAAAGATTAATTAATTAATTAAGATGATAATAATTAAATCAAACATGCGTTATATTTACCTTATTTGAACTAGATGATTCTTGTCGTAACCAATTTTTATCATCTTCTTGGCTGCATTCTTCTACTGGTTCAAGTTGTCCTACAACATCTGCATAGTAGTGTAGAACTTGAAATTTAATGTAACAATATTTACAATTTACAAATTATTGTCACGATTTAATTACTGGTTCTTACTAATTGTTCATCTTAGTCTAAAAATCAAAACAATGAACGTTTAGGTATACATAGAGAGTACTTTGTTATTAAAAAAAAAAGAAGAAGAAACATAGAGTACTAGTTAATATAGAACATCCCCCATAACAAATAAAACTAATTTAAAAGTAAATTGAAATCAACTTATTAACAATACTTATAAGGAATTCTATAAGGTTATCATAAATCAAAACAGTTTTAGAAAATTAAGGGTTCGTTTGGCATCGCTGTGGTTTTCTGTTTTTTGGTTTTTTGTACTTCCTCCGTTACGTATTATCTGCAACAATTTCCAAAAATGGATGTTACACATTATGTGCAACAAACTAAAACTTTCCTCTTTTAGTAAATTTTTTATGCATAATTACCAATTTACCCTTATTTAACTTCAATAAACACATCAAATCACATGTTATTAATCTATTAACCTAAATTAGTTCATCCATTATTTAAACCTAACCCACATTCTCTCTCCTCTCACAACCACATCTACCACCACCACCACGTTGTCTCTCTCCTCTCTCTCAGCCACCACCACCACTTTTCTCTCTCTTCTTTTGGATCTCACACCCACCACACCACAACCACGCACCACTCTGTTTGATCGCCGCCCCTTTTCCTCGGGAAGTAATTCACCGCCACTTTCTCCTCCCCTCATCAGAGCCGCCACTTTCTCCTCCCCTCGTCAGAGCCGCTGCCACCTTTTCTACCCTTCTCAAAGTCGCTCAGAAAAAAGGATCGTGGTGGGTAATTGATTAGGAAAAAGGAGAATTTGAGTAAGCTTGAAATCTCAGATCTAAAGCAAATTTGGTGAAAGATGATCGATCGTGAAATATCGTGGTGGGTAAGATAGGTGAGGGTGGTGGTGGTGTTCCACGATTTCGCTTAGGTGGTGGGTTTTCGCGATTTCGCTCAGGTGGTGGGGTTCGACGATTTCGCTCGGGTGGTGGATTGTTGATGCGATTTGTCTGGAGTGGGTTTTGGGTGGTTATGGTGATGAGACGAGATGGGGTGGTGGTGGTGAGATGGTGATTACGGGATTACGGGATGAGGTGCTGGTGGTGGTTTTGGGCTTTGGGTAGATGTGGGTGGTGGTGGATGTTGCTACTGGTGGGTGGTGGGTGTGGTGGATGTTGCTGCTGGTGGGTGGTAGTGGTGGTTGATTAATTTTCCCCCTTTATCTCTCCTACCCTTAATCACAAAGTCTTTACTTCGTTAATCACATATTAACAAATTTTGTCTTGGGAAACGTGCAATAAGGTTTGTTGCACATAATGTGTAACGGAGGAAGTATTTTAAAAGTATATTATATATATCACATAATGAATCAAAAAATATTTAAACTTATTAAAATCATGATAATTTTTGAAAACTGACAACAGAAAAGTGGAAACACTTTTTTCTTATTTCCTGTTTTTAGTTTTCAAAAAAACAGAAAACTGAAAACTAAAAATGATGTCAAACAAACCCTAAGATTATGAATTAATGATTAACCCACTCTAAATCAATAATGTGTACTCATTATCTTTTCATAAAGCAAACAAATCTTATAAAAAATGACAAATTTTTATGTACTGTAAAAAAGAAGGTCCAATAATTTTAAATTTAAATTAGCAAAAAAAGAGGAAGATATATATATATATATATATATATATATATATATATATATATATATATATATATATATATATATATATATATATCATGAAGGATCTCCTAAATTGAATTCTCACATAATTAATTGAACAATACATTTCATCTTGGCCTAACATTATAATTCTTTTTGTCCATTAAACATTTCCTCAATAGGATAAATTTGCATAAAATAAAACAATTTCTATTATAAGCAAATGAAAAGAAATTACCTTGAAGCTCTTCTTCATCAAGAGAATGAACACAATAAACTCGAAAGCTAGGAGAGCTCGGAGCCAACAACTCCGATCTCTCAAGCTCATCTTGATTATCAAACGTGCATTCCTCCTCCTTAATTACTTCTTTATCATGCAAATTATTTTCAAATTTAATTTCATCAACATCAGTATTAATAACATCATTTTTAACATTATTAACATCATTTTTAATGTTATTAACATCATTTTTATCCTCCAATATAGGGAATAATATTATTGATGCACTATTATCATCAATGTTAGAATTTTTTTGAGGGCTATCTTGTTTAAGAAAGGAGGCATGATCGTCATCAGAAACATTATTAGGAGGCGAAATAGACGTTTTATCTTCCTTAGCAATGATCTCTTCTTTTTCTTCTTCTTCTTCTTCTACTTCAGAGCGATGAGAAGTAGTAACGTCACCTGCAAGGAGTTCCTTCTTGGAGAGGCCAGCGTTCCTCCTGGCTAGAAACTCGTCGATCCTACGACGAATGATTGGTCGGAGGCCAGCTTCTTGTTCCGGCTCAAGCTTAGATCCTCCGCAACCCATTTTGTCTTAAATATGTTGTTTTACATGCACACATGAAAGATAAAATAGGATGCGTGAGTGTGAAACATGGATGTTATTTTGATCAAGGATAGATTTGAGAGGAGATGACAAAAAAAAATTAATAAAGTTAGTTTTAAGTAGGAATGATGTATTTTTTTGAGAGAATTTAGGGGAGTATTTATTTGAGGATTATTTTGAACTCTAAAATGAAAGGTGTAACGAAATTGGCGCCAACTTGGTTAACAAGAGTGAGGTTTTTTTTTTTTTTTTAGTTTTTTTTTTAACAATATTTTTTGTTATAATGATTAATGGTATAGATTAGATAACTATACTATATGCAATGGTATCAATATAGAGAATATAGGGGTGTATGACGATTAAAAAATGTTGAAAGGCAATCCTTAATTAATTGAACTTCTATCAAACCTATCTTATGCCTTTCTTTTCAAGGTTTAATGTTTAAGAAATTACGAAGTATTAACTTATTTTATGAAACAAAGCATACAAAGGTCTTGGACTCTAACAGATGTGTGACTTGTTTATTTAGATTCCGCTTAGTCTATTTCGGATCATATACATGTGACAATTTTTCCTAGGAGATCCTACAACATTAATGCAGATCCAAGATGTTATGTACCTAGAAAATAGGCCTAATTTATGTGGGATCCCAAATCCCAGCGTTCAAGCTCCTATGTAAGAATGATGCTCAAATTTACACTTCTACTATGAACATATTTCAGAATGAGCTCAAGCTCCTCTGTAAGAACGAGTGCCTGGCATCAATAAATCATCCCACATAAATACGATCAAGGTATGTGTGTACCGACATAATAGTGCTAGGAAACTGCTTGTTCTCACATTTCCTGAGCAGCAAGTCATAAAGCCTAAGGACAGTTCCAATCCCAGCAAGTAACCTTCCCTGAAACTGGGTTAGAGCAAGCGGGAAATCCTCTACTAGGGTCTTCTGCAAAAGCTCAAGTTTTCCACCATCAACAAACCGATAAATGTGAATATATGCTGCATCAAACGATCTTTTGGGAGAAAATTGCAGCGATTTTGCAGTCGCAACAGCTAGTAAAGTACCATAATCCTTGTCATGGAAATACTCGGTACATATGCTGAATGCAACCTCATTGTCCTGAAGCTCCAAGCAATACGTTGTCCCCCCCGTTCTTGAATCAAGAACTCTAAAATGCAAGAAACCCATTTCTCTTCTTCTACTCTAGGATATCTATACCGCTCATCAGATATCTGACTGTCTCCATCAATCTCTTCCATGGAAACATTCTTTTTGTGCAGCTTCACTTTCATCGGTGTTTAAGGCTCGCTTGTCACTCTCAATCACCACCAGAACTCTAACCCCCCCCCCCCCCTCCCTTCTCTGGTTTTTTTAAAAAAAAAACTAATTTTTTTTTCTGTCATACTTTCATTTGTGCACTCTCTTTTTTGTTGCTGTTTCTCAAATTTTCGCTGCTACTATACAATCAAGTGGTGGTACTAGACAGCACGCCGAGCTTACTTCATGAATCATGATGGATCCATGGAAGGTGAAGGTAGGGAGAGAGTAGAAAAGGAAATAACAGTTAAGATTGACCATATGGCTAGAAATGCTGTTGCTCTACCAGCCTCATCGATGGAGACTTCGATTTCTTCTGCAATAAGCTCAACATGCTGTCTAGTACTGCCCCTCGATCAAACAAGTAGGATGGAGACTGGAGAGACGGGGATTTGGGAGAGATGGATAAAGTGCAGTGGGTCTGGAATTCATTCATCTCTGTACACTTTTCATTCAATGTGTCTGATGCTAAGTCTTGAATCCTAGACTAACTGTATGTCTTTTTGCTAACCAAGCTACAGCCTACAGGTTTCTTTTCGGGTGCCTTTTATTAATATTCCTGCTGACTTTCATCGAGAGTTCCTCAGCGACCTCTGGTACACGAAACACAAATGTGCTTCAAACATCAAGAATATTAATCTCCAGTTCCATTAGCGTCCACCTTCTCTTCAATTATTCATCCGTCATAACCTTAGCTGATGTTCACTTGCTAAAATAATGAGAATTCAAATTATACTGGTAGCCTTATTATTTACTCATTCGGGCTTAACCAATTAAGGTCATACTCTCAAAATAGTGTTAGTGCGATCAGCATCTAGGATCATCTCCTACAGCGTCGTTGTAAGACTTTCATGGTTATCAACTATGATACTGTCAAAATTAAGACTTTCACCATACGCCGACTACCCAAGTACACTCAGCACTGATGATATACAAATTTGGTTATCAACTATGACTCCAAATTTCATGTATATGAAAATTAAATATGAAAGTTTCAAACACTTATTATTTTCGAAAATAAAGTAAAACAAGCATTTGAACTCAGCAAGATGACAAAGCTGCCATGAAGTTTCATTACTTGTACTATTTAACAACTTACACAGCAAAGAAATCAGCTGGCCTAGAAAAACATCAACTTGATATTGTATAGCAGCTCTGTTCTTAGAAACTTTTAATAACACATTTACAAACACGATAATGCTAACAAAGAACACTCTGCTGACCTTAACGGACTGACTGTCAAACTCAGGTTCACCACTATATATTTGCCCTCGAGGAAGTTCCTGAAAGGCAAGTAACAAAGTTAATCAGATTTGATTGCACGAAGGCACTAAAATCTATAAGCTTTAAGTTGTAAAATGTGAAAGAATTACTTGTAAGACGTTTGCCTTTTCACGAAGAACCAAAATAGACAGGTAGAGGACATAAGAAAACCAAGGCTGCTTTAAGTTCCATCCTCTAATAAGTACACCTGATGCTCACAGCAGAATCAGCAATCTTCATTCTGGTTGATTTACACTTGATCTTCTGAGTACATCAAAACACAGATTACCAAATATCAGTATGTTGTTCCCTTTCGAGGAAAACGTTATAATCCAGAAAATAGAGCAATTGATGACTATGTTAGTAAGCTAACAATGTTGAATGTTACTATGTTAGTAAGCCTCCATTGCAGCCTTGCAGGAGAAAATAGAAACATAAACAAACGCTCTGACACGCAGCGGATTTAGCAAATGGTGATGAACAGATGAAGCTCAAGATATCTTGGCAACAGGTACATTAAAAGGATCACATTCCAGATGATTTCTCTGAAGTGACGTTATCCTGTCTCCCTAGGAACGGTTTAGGAAACCATGACTAGAGAGATATGGAAGCATATACTAGGGGTACAGCAGTCCGAAATAATAGCAGATGAGAATTGTAATCCTTTAAACATGCAGTAGGAGTCTGAAGGACAACAAACTAGAGTAGTTTCCAATGCAGAGGATTTACATTCCATATCAGTTTGAAAACTTATTTCTATTTTGTTGTTTTAGTGATCATACATTCATACGAGTACATCTTTTCTAAATAAGTGAGTTTGCAGCAGCACCATGATGAACTGATGTGAATCCAGAAATCACCCTCAGAAATATAACTACAGCTTAAATTGATATTCCAATGGCAGACCAAATTTACTTGTACCATTCCTAAATATATCAGGCCTGAGCAGTCGATTAAACTGGTCTAATGTCAATACAAACCCTTAATAACAATCTAAAACCAAATGTTCATAGCCAAATGCTAGAAAACAAGTAACTAAAACAAAGATGACTTCATGGGCAGCAATAAGAGATGAAAAACATAATATATTTAAATTACAGGATTAAATACTGATTTTCTGACCCTTTATGATTAATCATTTTTATACCCTCCTATGAAAAACACTGCAGATCGTAAAGTATTAGATAAATTAACAAAAAAGTTAATAGTACTGATGCTAGCAGAAAATCAAGAGCAACAGCAGCACAGAAACTCACCAACTAACAAAGTAGTAATACAAGTAATAATTTAAAAATCACAGACTTAGTATTAAATAACTAAAGGGAAACAGTTTACCTATGTTACTGTATCAGGGAAGGGAAAGCAGAGGATATGAACTCTTCATCCTCAGGAAAGATCTGCAAATTTTTCGACTTCATGAAATAAGTAACAGCATCCTCATCAAAGTCCATCAAGAATCCAAACTTAATGAGCTCGGAAAGTGGATGAATTTTATCCTCCTCATCCCAAAGCAACCCTTCAGATACCACTTGAGAAAACCTTGTTGCATATTCTACGACAGTCTTACGAGCACCTGATCTGTCGAGTTTCTGGGCGAAAAACTCAGAAGTATCTCTCTCCCAGCGCACCAATTGACGCGTGCTAGCTGTGACATCACTACCTGAACTCATCATTAAGCTGTAGGTTCTAGTAATGGGGTTTGGACTCACAAAGACTTTGACATTGAGGAGCTTTTTAACAGCTTCATGCCTCCGTTTTGTTTCTATATTCAGTGAGGGATCGGAGAGAAATCCTAAAATGATCATTACAAGCCCCTTCACAATAAAAGCATCCTTCAATTTCGCCACAATCAGTTCTCCATGATCCACAGCAGACAGCTCTGATATTTTAACAGAATCTGATATCTTCCTTACCCCGATCTTGGAGTACGTATCAAAAAGTAAAGCTCGAGGAATCGAGGGATGGTTTCTTGCAGGACACCAGACAAAGAAAGAGTAAGGAGAAGCCATTTCAAAAAGATCTTTCAATAAGAGATCATTAGGGAGGAAAATGTCCTGCTTATTAAGCAACAGAATATCACCCGAGCCATAGGAATCTGCAGGGATTTTAGACACACTTTTAGAAAATACTTTCTTAGTATCTTTGTTCCAGTGCCTAATAACATGCACCCAAAAGGCACAACAGTCATCGTGTGATATCACACGCCTCGAATTCTCCCATTCCATCCAAAGCTTACAGTAATCATCAGTTGAGGGTCTGTTTTTAACATCAAAGGCCTTACAGAAGAAAGTAAGCAGCTTCGGCTTGTAATTCTTCTGATCCAAAACATGCAACCTAGAGCTGAACAGATGATTATCATCATGCAAAACACATTCCTCCGGAGCAACCCACACACCATCATCAGAAGTTGTCGGGATCCAAATTTGCACAGGAGCGTCTTTTTCTGGCTTCCAGTCAGCTTCACTCAGGAATTCATAGATACGCTCAATCTTAGCAAACTCATGAAGGGACTTGATGTGAAATGCAAGCAGTGAGTTTGCAACATTGCTGGACAGATCAACTATAACTCCAATATCAGCAAGCTCGCTTTTATAGGACAAAATATTTGCCCCATAGTACTCTTCATCAATGAAAGGACCATCACATCGCTGCAACGAAGACTTTTTGTTCGGATCAAATAGCATGCATTCTTTTGAGGACATATAGCCAACAGTGGTCTTCAACCACTTTGTCTGGTGAATCTGTTTCAAAAAATCCTCTGGGAGGGGATCTTGGCTTTTCCGGAAGCTTCTAATGCATTCGAGCAATGACATGACACATACAGGAGTAATTTCACTTGGATTTTGAGGTAAAAAGATATGAGAAAAAACAAATTGTGAGCCTTCCTTGAAATCAGTCACTACACCCATTCTCTTCAGCTCATCTTTGAATTCATGTATGCCTTTCCCATAGCAGCTCTCCCTGTCATCAATAAAAGGAAGCAGCGTAATCTCAGAGATTGGATGCCAATCTGAATCATACAAAATGCAATCCTTGGGTGGCCTGTAGTCACCAAGGCGAGTTCTTAACCATTTAGCATCTCGAATACATGCTCTGAGATCAGCATGAAGGGTGAACGGTGTATCCTTCAACTCTTTATAACACGAAATGAATTTGAGACCATTATCTGCAGTAATCTGTTGAATTGTTGCTCGTTGCTTAAACTCTATAGAAAATGCCTTAGTTGCACCATCAAAATCAACCACCACCCCAATTTTCTGTAATGCTTCTCTGTACTTGAATATTTTGTCACCATATAAGCTGCCGTCAATGTATGGGAAACCCTCAAATATCTGTAAGATACATCCCCATTCACGATCAAATAAGAAACATTCACGGGGATACTTGAAGCCGACACTTGTGCACAAGCATGCAGAATCTTTCATTGTAGTCACAAGTTTTGCTGATGCATGAGGACACTTTTTGATGCATTTGAGAGAGAAAATGAGATGGGCGGGCATTAGAGTGCTCCAGCTTACTGAAGGTTTAAGATGGTTAAGCACATTCTGATGCTTTCCTTTGAAACCCACAGTAATACCAAGTAGTTCAAGCTCAACCTTGTATTCTTGAATACTGCACCCATAATACTCTTCATCAAGAAAGGGAATCTGACTGAATACTGAAGCAGATGTCCAGCTTTTATCAAAGAGAACAGTTTCAACCGGGGACCTTTCACCACACGAGGTCTTTACCCATCTCACTTTTTTGATGGCGTTGACAATCTCATCCACTGACAACATTTTCTCTCTCAGATATTGTATAAAATTAAGCAACGCGATAACCTTGGTTCTAGTCAAATTAGAAGAAGTAGCCAGAGCCATGAGATGATTTCCGATGAATTTACATGCTTGACCATAATCAAACATCACCCCTATTGCTTTTAGCTCCTCCTGATACTCATTCAATTTATAGTCATAGAATTGCTGATCAACCAAGGGAATATCAACCATTTGGGAGCCATTCTGCAGCAGACTTCCCCATGATGAACTCGAAAAAAATGATTGATTAGGAGGTTTGTAAACAGGATGACCACTCATAGTTACCCTCAACCAGGTTCCATTCTTAATGCAATTCAGAAATTTATCAGGCATTCTGATTCCTTTATATCTTATCTTCTTAATCCAATCCAACATCAAGAAAACATTTTCTTTGTTCAATGGCCCATTTACAGTAGGGAAGGCAGCATCTGGAGGACATGCGTCAGGAATATCAGAGGCACCGGCATATCTTTTGAGGAGCTCCATCAGTTTCTTTTCCGGAGTAAAATAACCAGCATATCGCGCAGAATGCAAATATTCATCAGATAGTACCACATAATCTTGATCCCTCCAAAAATTGGAACCACCTATCAGATTCACCCATTTGCTCCCGTTGGCAGGAACTAGTACACCCTTTCTTCTTACAGATACACCTCTGAAATTGTTCACTAGTGGCATGCAATCACTTAATTGTCGTAACTGTATCTCATTCAAAAATCCATTGGAAGATGTGTGATGTAGAAAATGTGCAAAAACAAATACCATTCTGCAGTTGTTTCCCACTGAGTGGTGAAGCTCTTTTGCAAATTCATCCATGCGAAAAGTATTAACATTCACATAGTCATTCAACCAGGTAAGTACATCTTTCACTCCTAAGATGGCCCTTTGCGTTTTCTCGGGTAAGAAAACTAGTCTTGCAGCAGATCTAAATTCTTTACTCCAGTCTATCATCCATGAAATATGTTGTGCTTCTTGAGATCGACACAAACGTAGACCACTTGTCTGAGTAGCTTCATTTATGCTAAGAAGAGATACATACCCAGAATCACCTACATACTTCAGTAGGGGTATACTTACCATATTAGCCGTAGCAAAACTTGACCAATACCGCGCAAGAAATTGAAGCAACTCAATATAGATCTCTTCCCCAACTCCCATGACAAGATTACAACTCTGGATGCACTTTGGGTACCACTCTGTGTCAACGGGCTTCACACCAAGGAAGCTAAGCACATCGTTGTACCTGTCTACATCGAAAGAAGAATGCAATATATGCTTTCCTAGAGATGAAAGATTGTGCAATTTCATCCCTTTCTGCTTTGCCTTCAACAATATCTTCCAGAAAGATTGGTTCAACCGGGCAACTTCTTGAGGTTTATGGAAAATTTTCTGGTCAGAATGCGACTCAGATGGAATAATATTTTCCAGAAGCAGTCTCCTTTTGATTGAATTCCTGATTGCATCTAACTTTGGGTGACATGCGTCTTTGACCGGCAAGAAAGCAAACATGGATGCCAGAGAAGAGGTAGGCGCATCTTCCCTCGTCTTGACAAGAGCAACAAATGCATTGACAAAAGCAGAAGGAATGCAGTCTAGAATCCCTTGGTTCCATATGTCATCCCACAAAATAGTCTCACGAGATGATGGAAGAAGGAAATCTGCCTGAATTATGAAAGGCAAATTTGTAACTGTCTCAGTCGGAAGATATGCATAGATTCCGGGAGATATCATTCCTCTATTCAGACGCTTGCCAAATGGAAAGGCCAATGTAATAGACCACTCCTCGAGTTCCTTCCTCTTTTCAACCTTGTTTTCATCCTTGACACGAAACTTCTGCCTCCACATATAGTAGCCACATTCACCATCGCTGTCAGGACTACCTTCTTCTTCTGCCATCAAATGTACTGTATACGACTCAGCATCAATATCCTTCTTTGATTTGAAATCCGTTTCAGAAGAAATGGAAACAGCTCGTATGATGTTGAGTTTTGGATCCTCACTGTGCTCTTTCACTGAAAGACGCTTGATTTTTGAGAGAAACAAGAGTAACTCAGGATGGATACTTGAAAGCTGCTCCTTCACAGCTTTCACTTTATCACCCTTCAAAGGCAGTATCAGTGTAGTAGTCGGAAGGGCTCTATTACTGCCATACACTTGCTGGATATCAGCCACTGAGGGATATTCAACCCACTCAGGTACTATGTAGGCTACATCACATTGAGGACATGGTGCTTCACTGAAACGAATTTGATAGCCATTACTAAAGATATAGGGATGAGCTGTCAGTAGAAACACGCTTTTGAACCCAATTCCTGTGACAAAAAAAACCACAAAATCAATTTCATTAGAGATAAGGGCCTTAATAATGAGGTAAAGAACATTTAAACATGGTCAGTTTTGTTCAGCTTCTGATATTAATGTGGCAGAAAGGTGTCAACAAGTACAATATTTGTGGATTACATAGCTATGGTAAGCTATACAAAACTAGAAAAAAAAAAAAAAAAAAAAAAAAAAAAAAAAAAAAAAAGCCTTAGACAACACTCTGTGATTGTTCAACAGAAATCTACAAAAAAAAACATTAACAGTAACCTAATTGCACTTTACTTGTAATTTTTTCAATACGAGCAGAAATAGTGTTTGGTAAGCTATAAGAAATAATGGAAATGCAAGGATTGTCCTATGCTAATGTTCATGTTGATGCAATTGTATTCCAGAGTATGTACTTCTCTTCGTAAATTTGCATCATCAAATCATTTACCATTTAGAGGAGGCATTGAGTGGGAATGGAAATTAAAAGAAATTCACATACTATGAGGAGAAAAAGCATTACCATGGACTCCTTCTGTGCGACATAATTTACAAAGTTATATATGAGCTCGTAGCAACTAGCAATTACAGTCATGTACACCAAAAGGGCTATTAGTGCCTCATTTATTTGGAGGCACTCGATGCAGATATTATATTGATTTCTACAAGAAATATATGAGACATCAAACCCCATATTTATGAGTTAAAGCTCAATTTTTTTTTTTTTCGATGTTCACTGAAATCAACTAAATTATGGACTACATTGATGTTGTAGACCATGAGACTGATGGTGTTTTTACAGTTGAGCTAAGCTTAACACTCCGCACTTAAGTTACTATGTACCTGTTAAGCTTAGGAGTGTGGGATTGAACTATGATGCCTACGAGTTTGCATTTCTATACCATTGGGCTGATAAAAACTGCAATTACAAAGGACAGCACATGAACTGTATCTGACTACACCACTGAACCGAACATCATTATCACTCTCTTAATCCCTTCACAAATTTTCTAACAGTTGATAGATTGTGAATGCTTTTGAGTAACAAATTTAAGAAAAAGGGTCTTTTATACATGAACTTCCTAATATAAATGCTATGTTCCGCATAGTGCGTACAGTTTAAAGGTTGATCTCAATATAACAAAAATAATAAACATTCAAACAGTAGTTACTAATATCCTAATATGTAAGGTACAGCTTGCTTTAGTTTTAAGAAGAAAATATTTTGAGGCTACAATAAAATTAAAAAAAATACAATAAAAAAATCAAATAAAACAGATGAAAAATTATGCAATCACAGCCACATTTTACATTTACAGCCAGAATGATTAAGGATGATCCAAAATATAATGGGGGCACATTACAATCTGCAAGTTTGAATAGACTAACCTTTTTCTCCAATATAACCATTTTTGCGTTTGCCAGCCTTGGTAGAAGTACCAACACTGCAAATGGATTCCATATTTCCCTTAGAAAATCCCTTCTCATTATTGAAAATCAACAATGTAGCCGGAGCCCCTGTGGCTGTTATATCCCGAGATGTTATCAAGAACTCCAAGGTTGGATCAACTCCTTGCGGATACTCATTATCTTCAGCATTCTACATAACAAAATATTCTTTGTAAATATCCTCATCAGATGATATCAAATTAATGCTCATCCAAATTTATTTATTTGTTTTGGTTAACGGCCTTCAAATTAGATTAAGATACTAACAGACTCAGTTACATCAGACATCAGTTAAGCTTAAGTTCAAGCCTTTAGCTACAAAGTGCTCATCGTATCCAAATTGACAAGATACTAATACAACATAAATACATAATGCAACATAGACATTTGTCAAGTGCTCTAATGTATGCCAATTACATACACTAAATCTTGGCTAATCGTAATATGTACAAACACAGGTTACATACTTTTAATCCTAGAAAATCTACATTCTACAGATTACCAAACATGCTTCTTCATACATGCATAGGCAAAAGGTATAAATCAATTAAAAGTGATATGATGTATTATCATGTTATCATATCAGAGTAAAAAAAATAAAATCTTTTATGTAACAACCATCCCAAGATTCCCAAATAAACATAATATCACAGCTAAAAGTCATAACCAAGCTAAATCAAGCAGCATTAACCCACTGTCTAAAACCAAGACCGTTATTTTGTGCAAGTATATACATTATAATGCACGGTTGCTTCGATGCTATGTAGAAACTTTAGTGCTATGTTTGGATAACATATTAGAAGGGTAATGGAAGGGAGGAAAATAGGAGGAAGGGGAAGGAAGGGAAAGTGGAGGAAATGATGAGCTCCATTTTCCCTCCAAATCTCTCCAATTTTGAAGGGATGGTCTTTATTAACAGAGGAGGGAAAATGGATCCCTCCCTCCCCCAACATATTATCCAAACAAGGAAGTTTGTCTCCCTCCCTCCCTTTCCCTTCCTTTCCTTTTCTTCCATTTTTTGTTATCCAAACATAGCCTAGAAGCTTTAATATCCTATTCAAGATTATTTACTCAATTCATCAGCTATACAAGAGTTTGTTTGGATAGCAAAGAAGGAAGGAAAAGAAGGGGAGGGAAAATGGAGGAAGGGAAGGGAAAAGAAAGGGAGGGGGAGGCGAGCTCCATTTTCCCTCTAAATCTCTCCAATTTTGGAGAGATTATGGTTATTATAGAGAAAGGGAAAATGGATCCCTCCCTCTCCTTCCCCCAATCTTTTACCCAAACAAGAGATTTTGTCCCCCTCTATTTCTCTTCTCTTCTTTTCCTTCCATTTCTTCCTATCCAAACTAAGTGTTTACAGTATTTATTAGATTTCAAAATGTCCCAACTTCGCGCTACTTATGCTAAATATAGTAGCTATATTTGTAATCTAATCTAGTTTGATTATTACACTCATCTTCACAAACTAATTAATGCACCAAATCGTCCATAACAAAAGCAAACAAAGTACACTAAGAAAACCAGAGCATAAAGCAAGCTAATACAAGAGTACCATCAAACTCCAGCTCCATATATGAGGAAAAAAATGCTGCATTATTTACACAAAAGTGCTAGTATTCATATCAATCATGTACTTTCACAATAACTAATCTTTCTATTACTAGTTATTTTTCTCTCTTAACCCACTTTCAATCTTTAATTCACACTTTACCACTTAAGCCCGTCTTAATAAGGTTATGTTTTCTTTACCTTGCAAGACTATCAGAATTGAATCTTTTAATCTTGTTAATCAAGCCAAACAAGAAAATTTTGAACCAAATCATCAAAGATCATCAATTTACATACTAAAAAAAATAGAAAATTAGACATTGACAAAAACACATTAAGACGAATATGATAATATCTAACATTATATTTTCTTATAAATTGTCATACGATACCAACAGACTAGATCTTTAAATATTAAGAGCAGATTAACTTATTTCAAGCTATGAGAATAAAGTCTTAGCCAAACACTACTAGTGTACTCTTTACATTATAAAAGGAGTACTCCCTAAATTATACTTCCTCGTTCACTTTTAATTCAACACTTAAAAGCATGAATAATAAAAGGTGAAGATTATAAACTACTCCCTAAATTACTCTAATAAATCTAACATAAGATCACAGGATTATAGTCAAACACGGATACACTTATTCAAATGTTCAAAATAGAACGGCTACCAAAAAGAATGTAAATTCACAAGGAACGGCTCATACCAAAAAGAGTAAACTACTTGCAATCTTGTTTAAGAACTAAAATTCGACCCGATTATGAAAAATTACATTAAATAACTTCCTTAGTCTACAATAGTTCTTCCTATTTTGATTTTTACTTTTGAGACAATAACTATAAAACAGGAAAAATTATAACGGCAGAGGGTCAGAAACGAGGACTCGTCATAAACTCTACTCTCTTCGTTTCGGAATGATGTTCCGACTTTGACCAAAGTTGTCTCACAAAAAATTCTAAATAAGAACATCATTGTGGAATGGAGATAGTATAATTTAAGTATATAACAAAAGTAATAAAATGTAACAAAAAATAAAAGTAACAAGAAATAAACCTGAATAAGTTCCATCAAGAAATGAACATCTTTTGAGTATAAAGCAGCAGAGAGATTCTTAACAGCTTCTCGTAACATTTGCCTTAAAGGGTTTTTTCTCACACCAATTTCGAAGGTGTTTTTTCTTATTTCTTCAATATGTTGCTTTGCAACCTCCATTGTACCAGAATTTTGTTTCCTCCTTTGCAAATTTCACACAACAATATCTCAGAATTATGTTTTAAAGAAATGTACCATTAAAATTAAAAAACAGAGAAAAAAAAGGGTTATTTAAAAGCAAAGAAGAAATAAACTTAGGGAAGAAGGAAAATTGTGTACAGGAAAAGAGAGAAATTGACCTTTTGCATGCTTTTTGATCATTGATTGGTGCATTTGGTCGTCTTCTAGTCATTCTTTCGTCTTCCTAAGAAAGATTTTTGCCAAGGTCTTTAATTAATGTACTATACTTCACAGTAAATAAATTTGAGTTGATTTCTCACTTTTTCCAAAATTATTGAATTGACTTGCAATTGACTCCTCTAGATTTTATTCCATTGTTAACTGTTTTTTTTGGTCGAATGATCTGCTCTTGAACCCTACGATCTTGTCAACAACTTATTGATTTCGATTAGTTAATTAAACTCTTGGGATATAGGGTTTGTCAATTTGTCTTGTTTTTTTTTTTCAACCAAGGTTAAAAAAATTACCTAAATGCAGGATTTGAAAAAAAACACACTTAAACATGATAAAGACTATATTACCCTTTTCATTCTCCTTTACTAGCTATTACTGTAGTAAGAAGTTCACTCTCTCTGACTCACTTGCCTGTACTTCTTCATCCTTCCCTCCAATTTCAACTCTCTCTCTCCTGTTTCTCCCTCTATAATCTCAAATCCCTAACAACACTTTGCCAATTCCAACCAATTAAGTGCGCAAATCTAAATATGACCTATTAATCAAAAATCAAATACAAAAATTAGCAAAATTAACATCAAATTCCTCAAAATTCAAGCTCGAATCAACATTTTCGCTAATTACTCCGTACAAGCTAATTCATACACATATATGGCCAAAGTAATGCAAATCTTGTTCAATGCGGAACTTAAATTCAAAATTAAACATTGATAATTGCCAAATAATCAATTTTTTCGAAAATTAAAGTTCAAATCTCCTTTTTTTTCACCAAATTTAAAGCTAATTCGTACACAAATATCACCCTAATTAATGTAAATCTCGCTAACAGCTGAGCTTCAATGACTAGCAGCACTTGATGACAATGAAATGACGACTCCTCTTCGTGGCCAATTATCGAAATCAAAGCTTTATAACGCAAACTGTATATGAAAGTTAATTACAGCAAAATTAAGTAATAATCGAAAGGTTTAGCCTACTACGGAGTACTAACTTATTAAACAACATAAAATGATCATCAATCCATCATCTCTCTGATAACATTGCAATTCAATAAAAAATAAAAAAAAAACATACGCACAAAATGAAATCATAACAATTCCACTGAAATTAACTTCAATTGACACCTTGGATTATCTTTTGAGCTGATTTATCTGAATTTTTGTCAATCCAATTAATTGAAACCAGAAATAATACATATGCATTGAATAATAAAAAAAATTACAAACAATTGACACCAAAAAAATTTGTTCATTAATTTGCATTTTCAACATATATTTACCAACATCAAACTTGTATAATAGCCACAAAAAAATCATTAACTACAAACAAATTGAAACCCTAGTAAATTTCTATTTTCTCTCTTACTCATCAGACTTCTCCCCTTCATCCACAAACAGAGTATGCTGAGCCATCTTCTCTGAATTCTTCCTCCTCCTCTTGTTTACCCTGTTCTTCTTTCTCATCCTCTTCTTCCTTTCCCTCTTCCTCTCTTCACACTTCCACTTCTGTTCTGCAGATTGTTCCTCCAAGTACGTAATTCGCACACCACGGGACCCAGCTTTGATCCACTTCACATATTTTGCAGGAGTAGTCCAGTGGACCGAAACCTTCTGATTGCCTGGAATCGTCAGGAACTCTTGATACTCTGCCCAGCAAGTAACGGTTATGTTTTTGAAGCTCTCACAATAAACTCAACAACTCTTCTTCATTCTTCCTCATACTCTCCAGATGAGCCTTCTGCTCCTCAGTTACCTCCTCATTCATCACCTGATCCTCATATGTTGAGATGGCTCTCCGAGTGATGATGAGTTGCCGAAGGTTGTCGGTGGTAGGGGAGGGTGGTTCGGTTTCGGGAAGGACAAGAGCAGGGGGTGTTGAATGAGTAGGGGACGGTGGCGGAGTGATGGCGGAGTACTCGGAGGGGGGAGATCCGGAAGAGGATCGAGGAGGAGAAGGCTGGAGAACGGTTTCAGGTTGCGCCATGGTTTTTCAAATTTTGAAATGTGGAAATTGAAAGGTTGATTTTATACAACGTGGGAAATTGTGAGAAAGGCAGAATCTTATCAGAACCGTCGATCTTGATATTTATCCAAGGGTGAAGAGTAGCTTAGAGTAAGATATACGGATTGAGGCTTGTGGATCGATGACGTGGACTTTAATATGCCATTTTCCGGTTTTCTTAGTTTTTGCCTTGAATATTATCAAAACCATTACTCCGTATTAACTTTGTTTCAAAAAAAAAAAACCATTATTAACTCAATGTTGCAAATTCAAATAATTCTACTTTAAAATTATTTATTTAAAGTAACATTCATTTTCCAAAAATGATATTATTAAACTCAAATCGACTTTCAATCCAAACAAATTGGTATAACACATCGGGTATTTTTAAAAACCTGATTGAATTAAATCGAAATAAAATTGAACAAAATAAAATTTTTATATGTGTCTAAATTTTTTTTTGTCAACTAATTAAACTTAGTAACATAGAAAGCCCAATAAGCTAACCCGACTAAAACTTTTTTTAATCATCCGCAAGACATATTTTTTACTGAGTATTCTTTAATTGCATCATTACGAATGGTTATTTGGCTCAAAATAAAATGAATCGGGTCCGGCCTTAACACAATTTTTCGTGCCCAAACCCGTAAAAAAGTAGCGGGCTTTTTGGGCCATAATGGGCTTTTCGGGTTTTTCGGGCTTTTTAACTAAAATTGCGTTTTTATGCTTGTGCAAACCGGATTGTATATGGCTAGACTCTAGTCTAGGCATCTTAGCCTACACCCCTCCCTAAACTCATCGTTTAACACCCCTTCCCCAAATACTCACTTTTACAGTAACTACATAGTAATATCCGTACTATTTCCCCCACCCCATATATACATAAGAAAAAAAAAACCATTATCATTTCACTTTCTCTCTCCTCACCCATTTTCTACATTTTCTCTCTCTACATCTATTTTTTGCATTTTCAAATATGAAATTTCTATAAATTTGTGACAAATTATCAAAAAATATTGTTCAGTTACTACATAATTCAACTAATCAAGGTCGAAATTCAAAGGAGTAAGTGATTTTGTTCATATTTAGTTCAAAAAAGAATATAAACGAACCCTAGTTTTAGTAATTTTTTGTTGCAATTGTGTTACAGGATCATCATCGAAGTATAAAACATAGAAAAAGATTATGAACTATTGCATTTTAGTAATTTTTACTAATTTTCATTTAAAAACTAGTAATCTGAACAAGTAGCTTTTCATTTTTGGGTATGAACTATGAAGTATTCTCTCTTTTTTTTTGGGCAGTTGAAGGAAATAGTTTCAGAGAAGAACATCAAAGAATCTGGAGAAAAGTAAACATTAATTGAATTAGTTTGTAGCGTTTCTTTTTTACTGAATGTTCATTTCCGTTTCAATAAATGTTCATTTATATACTAGTATACAATCATTCACATGTTAATAGATGATTAATATAAATATATTACTACATTTATATATCACAACATAGTCATTGTATTAATGTTAATTCTTTTTCATAGTTTGGAGTGGAAAGTGATTTTAGATGAATATTCGGTTGTATTTTGGTAGATGTTCAATCGCATAAAAGTATATGGTTTTCACATATTAATATACGATTACTAGAATTTTGATAAATATTTATATTTTGGTCATCTTCTTCAAGTATTTCATGCTCGGTTAAATTTTGAGTTTCAACATATATCTTTTTTCAGATGGATGTATGATAAATCACATATTGATAGCTTCAAGTGTTATTTACGTATATATTTCATGTTCATCGATTGATATCTTTCATAGGCATTTTTAAACTAATGCATATTCATTTATATATTAATAGATGTACATTTTCATATTCAATTATGTAAATATGTTCATTATTGTATTAATAGTTGTTCATTCCATATTAATAGATGATCAATTCTACAAATATATATGTTCATTTATATATTAATATATGTTCATTTCCATATCGATCATTTCAATTGTTATATTTTCATATTCATATGAAAATTGGTTCATTTCAACACTTATTCTTGCTCAAATCTAACTAAAAAAATCTTGTTTTTGTCGATTAGTTAAACAAAGAATCGTGGATATTTAGCAAGGAAAAAAAAGAAAGATCAGACGACAAAAATAAGGAAATCAAGAATGCATGGATTCGCGCAACATCAATATGTGTAGAATTGAATTGTATATTTAATATTCAATAGTTTAATTTTTGGTGATATACAATTTCTATTTGATTTTAATAAGAAGAATATAAACTTTTTGTTTCCCAAAGTATTATTACAAATCACATCGTTCAAAAGCAAACATTTAAATAGTATATATATAATACTAATATTTTTTTACGACTTTGAACCATCATTCACTAACTATATTAGAATATGTTCATAAACACACCTTAATGATCAATAGGAAACTGTACAAAAGTTAAACATTCAGTTCTTGTATCAAGTCACTCATAGGATCTAATATTTCTACACTTATTATCTTTATAACCCCTTATTAGAACAAATAAATCCTTTCATAAAAAATGAGCCATCCTTACGCCTCTTACTCCTCCTAACTCTGATCCCAAACCTTTCATAAAAGCATACTCATTATATATTTCATAAGCATCATCTACCGAAGGAAATTGTTTCCTCCGAAAATCAAAGTGACTTGCTTCTTCAAAAATAACAGCATCCTCTATTCCCACTGCAATAATTAAAAATGTAATAAATGAACAAATACAGTAGCAATAATGGTCAATTACAATAATGCATTTGATAAGTTACAGTAAAATTACCATATGTAAAAATATATATGATCATCTATAGTTACAT